AGGCAGCACTTGTGATCGCACACCCATATTACAACGTACGTGTTTAATTAAACACGTACGTTGTAATATGGGTGTGCGATCACGTGTTTCAATGTATTTGATACACCTTTTCCGGAATTTGTAGATGCTTATGACATGTGCTAAAAAATGCGACCGGAAAATAAATTGTTTACATTTTTCAGGATACGACGAAGTTTTGATTCCCAGGTAAACTTGGAAAAGCAAATGACGTAGATGGAAAACCTACGGAAGCCTTTTAAAGGAGCTCCATTGAGGTCCGACAGGTAAATTATGCGTCCAAAAAAAATCTTTTCCACAAATCACAATATTACACAACTATGATAACAATAACCTACATTTTAACCAACCCTTTATCAACAATTACGCTAGAAAATGCAGTTTTCACAAAAGCTTTTGATTCAAGTTTTCCCAGGCATGTACAGAAGTTACCCAAAATTCATCGGGTATGGAGATTTTTGGTACAACGGTGTAAACGGGGCAAAATGTCTATTGATTTTTCTGAACACTTAATAATCTGTCATGTTTGTATAACTGGAGTACAACGAAGAAAAAATGTATAGAAGCTATTCAAAATAGCAATTTTGATGCCTTGAAAAATTAAACGCCAGTGAAGCGGACATTTCTAGACAAAACGGAAAGATATTATATCTAAATATTTTCTTTGAGATTTTTAAATTATTTTAGTTCATTTATACCTATATTCAACCAAAGTAAAAATATCTGTTAAGAAGTTTGTTTTGGTGTATATTGAAAAGTTTCAATTTCAATATTTTGAAGAAATGGATGAAGACGAAAATAGTGCATCGGTGATATTTATACTTTATTATACTTTTCGGTGGTTTATAGAAATATATCAGTGATATAAAACTGATAATTTCAATGTTTTGAATTGAAGCCCCTCACGTTGTTTCAGTGAAATACCAGCGTGCACAGTACTGGGTACCAACAGGCTAAACTAGCAACTTTAAATAACACATTTTCAATCCAGTTTCACAGGTAGATGAATTCTGTCAGGTTTAATGTATACCTTTGCTTTTGAAAATAAGGATTAAAATAAAACCCCCTTTTAGGGGCAAATAATTTAATAAGTAGCATCCCCGATTTCTCTTTCATAAATGTGCTAACACTTAGTATTAAATTCCAAAGAAAAGTTCTTAGGGGACCTTTAACATTTGATTACGGTTTATTACATGCTTTTCGATGGTTTATAGAAATATATTAGTGAATTAAAACTGATAATTTCACTGTTTTCAAACAGTGAAATTATCAATTTGATAATTTCACTGTTTTAAATTTAAGCCCTTTACGTTGTTTCAGTGAAATACCAGTGTACACAGAACTGGAAACCATCTTAATAACGTGACGTCGTAAATGACGTCACGTTGTATAATTATTTGGCGCGCTATTCATTTAGTATTAGGTAAAAATGTCCTTTTTAACATTTGTTTGCATATAATAAAAAGAAAATTTGTTTAGTTTAGTGTAAGATCGAAATATATTTCACCTCGTGAACACCAAAAGTTCACATTTCACTCGTGGCTGCGCCACTCGTGAAATATACCTTTTGGTGCTCACTCGGTGAAATATATTCCGATCTTTCACTGAACTTAACAAATATCCTCTATATAATCACTATAACCGAAATACTTAGGAATTAATTGTAATGCCTGTAGATATTTTTCGTTCATGTGTTTAAATACTAAAGAAGCTCTATAAATTTTCAAAACGATATGCAGTATTTCCGAAACAATTGACACAGGCTTTTAATACTCTTATAAATCTTAGTATTAGGTGTACCACCCACCTTATCACCAGAACAAACATACGATAAAAACAAGATCAACAAAGAAATGGTAGCATGCAATGAACGCAACACCCACACGACCACCACAACAGAGGGCCACAGCTAATTCATCAATGAAAAAATTAATCATGAAAATGAACAGTTGAGTGGTAGCAATCATTTTGTTAGGTTGAGGCAGTGTATTATTTGGTGATACTTTCGTTATTTTAAGTTGTAATGACATGCTGTTGGGTGAGTTCAGTCATGAAATAGAACTGGTAAATGTTACTTCATTATCTTGTGTGCTGATATCTTCTTCAGTCAATCAATGTGTTCTTCGTTGCAAAGGTCTTTATGTTCAGTGTTTTTGTGTTACTATTATTATGTTCAGTTCAGCTGATAATGTTTCGGTGTAGAGGTCATAATATTCAGAAGTGAACACAAATTTTTGTGTGATACCACAATTATGTTGGGTTCATTCGGATATTTTCGGGCACGTCGAAAGGCTAATGACCACTGAATTGCCAAAACAATTATATAGAAGAAATTTCTTTAACTTGTTCTGTTTATAAAACTGGTGTATGCTATTTTAAATAACTGGGCTGCAAATCGAGATATAATTGTTGACAGAATATGTTTAGAAAGAAATGAAGCACTTTCGATAATATAACACCAACAAACATAATTGATAATAGGAAAAAAAACGTAAACTGTCTACATGTGCTTCTTTTATTGATTTTAAGAAGCCACTTGATTATATAAATAAAGATTTACTATGGAAAATTTGTATGGCATAAAGGTAAAATGTTGTGTGCTGTACAATCTTTATATGATTCTGTAGAATTATCTCCAAACATACTGACTGATTTACTGTTAAGTCTGGATTACGTCAACAGGCCTCGACACTAACTTTTTTAGCAGGTGGTACGCCGGACCACTAGATTTGAAAGTTAGGTGGTCCTTCAAGAAGTCAGGTGGTCAATTATTATTATATCATTTTACTGCAAATGTAGAAAGAAATGTTTATACTTTATGACAAAGATGTATTATTAACCTTTAAAGAAAACAGATATTTTTAGATATATATATTTTTCATCTTATCAGAAAAGGGAGAGCAAGTCAGTAGGTATTCTATCGTAGAGTTATTTGTTTGTTTGTTTTCATCTCGTTCAAAAATACACAACATAGCTCTTATTTATGTTAACTTTTATATTGAAGTGATTTCACCCTCAACTCTAGTTAGGGAATAGTGAAACCATTTGTGTCTGTTATTTTCTTACTGTTATTCAAATATTCATTGCTGATACGTGGTACGTCTTATAATCATGATAATAACATAGCATCTTTTATAGATTAACATTTTTAATGGAACGAATAAATTATCTTATTCTTATTATCTAAATTATTTAAATAATGACAACGTTATTATTTTCTACTTTTCTCACAGATTTATAATACAGAATTTAACCTCCTTGTTGCTTGTTGGTTGATATTCATTTTTGACATTGGGTATTGTTAACCTATTAAAATAATTTTAACTCTAGAAGAAACAGATCTCTTATCATTAAACAGTTAAAATAAAGATAAATAGCATAGAATTACTAGATGAATTTTTTTCCAGTTCCTTTCGTTTGCTGCCGTTATTCAAGAATCTGAAATTTAAGTTTACCCAATATCATATCATTTCCATCATCGGATACTCACGGTTGATTAACATGTAACATAACATAAATGTTAATGGTTCCGCCGTGGTTATCAGCCAATGCATAATTACTAGCACCATTTGAATGAATTTTATAGCTAAATTAATATCACAAATTCTTAACTCTTTTAACTTGCATAAACAAAATTTTAGCGACTTAAAATGAAAGTAATTGATGACTTAAGAACTTCTTTAACTAATCAGAGATTAATGAACCATATACATGTACATCGGACATAGATTTTAAACAAAATTATATAACATGTTTTTGACCAAATCGCCATTCTCCCAAATGAGCCTTGCATCAACCAGAAAATTCAAGTGGTCCGACGGACCAGTGGGTTTTAAAATAAGGTGGTCCTTGCCAAAATCAAGTGGTCTCGGAACAACGGACCACCGCTAATGTCGAGGCCTGCGTCAATTATAACAAAATAATCTTGCTGTATTGGTGTTGATTATTGTCAACTTTGGTTTCACTTGCTGCAGTATTTGTCTTGCTGCAGTATTGGACATGCTACACTATTGGACTTGCTGCACTTTTGGACAAGCAACTTGCTGCGCTCCTTTGGACTTGCTGCACTATTGGATTAGCTTCGCTTCTTATACTTGCTGCGCACCTTGGACTTGCTGCTCTATTGAACTAGCTACGCTTCTTTAGACTTGCTGCGCTTCTTGGACTTGCTGCACTCCTTGGGCATCCTTCTTTTCTGGGAAGCGGACCGTTCTTTTTTTGGAGGCGTAGATCTACCGTTGCTAAGGCTCAAATCTTCACTAGAAAGCCGATTATTTTCTAGACATGCTGCTTTTTTGGTTCCGTCACTGGACCTAATGAGGAGACTTGCTGAAATTAGCTTTCTGACATTTGAAGCTGCTTTTGAAACCAAATTTTTTTTTAAATTTTTTTATTTCCAAATTCATTTCATATAAATGCACAACAACGCATTTTGAGAATAAATACACATGTCAGTGAACCGAGTATTGCGCCGGTGTCACGAGTATTGCTTATTAGTGTAACGAGTATTGGCTATTAATATCGAGTAAATGCGAGAAGTAAACACAGAATTTAAATCCAAATTCAATCTTTAATATTTTTTATTGTGTATATGTATTGACACTATATGTGCAGAATATGCAGTGGTGCTTTACTTGAAACAACTGCGAATAATCCATAGTCAGCAATTTTTTATGTTTACAAAGTTGTCGTTGTTTTCGTAGGATCAACCTTATTCATTATCTCCCCAACAGTTGTAAATATTCAACTCAAATTTCTCAAAATATGATAAGAATGCATTGGTCAATTTCGAATTTCGAAATAATTTGTGCAAACAAATTTAGAACTAAATATTATTACATCTGAAATTTTGGTTGCATGCGGGGGCATCCGTGGCATGATGACACATTTCTAGTTAGTCAAGCTTCGCTGTCTCCTGTGACAGCTCTGGTAGGTTTTTATTCTTTTTATAATGTGTTATTGTATGTCTTTTACATTTTCAGACTTCCTGCCAAAACAGCAATGGGGAGATTTACAAAAACACGTGTGGTCATCCTTGTGTGTATTGTTCTAAAATTAAAGACGCTATTTCTGAGGATCATAATTACTGTGCCAAAATAAGTACCGTATCTGTTGGTACGCAGACTGAGGACATTACCAATGAGAATGTTTGTAGTAAGGTACTCTTCTCAACACCGAAAAAGAAAGATGCTGCAGTTGCACTGAGCATCCCATCAATCAGCATAGGTCTTGACGATTCTGAATTGAGAGATCTTTCAACATTAGAAGCCTCATTCAGAGATGATTCTGATTCAACTTTTACTTGTTTATCAGATTCAGAGTCAGACAGTGACCAAGAGGAAACAGACAGTGAAAATACAATTGTTAGTGAAAAGAAGTACATAGTGTTTGAGTCAGCCCTTGAACAATTATTTCTTGCATTAAAGTGTCCTGTGTCCCATTGCAAGTGCCCGATTGACCCAGATGACATTAAAAGAACTCATATTGAAGGCAGTTTCCTGTCATGTGAAATAATCTGTACAGCTGGTCATACTATCATGAACTGGAAGTCTCAACCTATGCTGGGTAAGATGCCGGCAAGTAATCTTTTATGTAGTGCTGCATTATTATTTTGTGGACAGACATACACGCATATAGCTGAGTTTGCTAAATTCATGAATCTTGGATTTATGTCTGACACAACTTTCTATAGGATACAACGTGATCAAGTGATGCCTGTTGTGTTGGATACTTGGCAACAGATTCAGTCTGAACTTCTGCAAAGTGTCAAAGATTCTGGTAGGCCACTTCGTTTATCTGGTGATGGAAGATGTGACAGTCCTGGATATAATGCTAAATACTGTACTTATTCCGTTATGGACTTAGAAACAAGTGCCATATTAACATATGTTGTAGTACAAGTTACTGAAACAGGCAGTTCTGGGAGAATGGAAGCAGAAGGTTTCCGTAGGTGCATGAACTTTCTTTTAGATGAAGGTTTCGTCATAGAAGTTATGGCAACTGATAGGCATGTTTAAGGGAAGGAGTTTAATGTATGGCATCTGGCAAAAAAATATTAAACAAGAGGGCCATGATGACTCTGAGTCGCTCACCAGAAACAACTGCTTTTCAGTGTTGGATTGTCAATATTTTCTATTACTAAATTTGAGCATAGAATTTGAAGAAATGCCATAACCTGGGGTATTAGCTTTAGCTTAATATGAGCAAACTTGATGAAAGACTACCTAAGAATGCTACAAAGTTCGGTGATCATCTATCAATTATTTCAGTAGGAAATGATGTTCAAAGGTTTTTTTCTTGTTTTTAGCTAAAAGGGGCTAATTAAATTAGTATAGGCAAACTTGGTAAAATAGTACCGAGCAATGCTACAGATAAAGTTTGGTGATCATCCATCAATTGGTTCTGAAGTAGAAGATGTCTAAAGGTTTTTAACCATGTTTTCAACGAAAACCGGGTTATTGTCGAAGTTATTGTCGGGTTATTGCCCGAAGTCGGCGGGCCGGCGGGCGGGCGGGCCGGTCGGGCAGGCGTCAACTTTTGGTTTCCGCTCAATAACTTTAGTTTGCTTTGGCCTATTCACACCAAACTTGGTGTATGGATAGCTTATATCAAGATGCAGCTTGGGAATGTTACCCAGGGGTCTGTGATCAAGGTCAAGGTCACTGTTACTAAAAATAGAAATTCAGTTTCCACTCAATAACTTGAGTTTGCTTTGGCCTATTCACACCAAACTTGGTGTATGGATAGCTTATATCAATATAAGTCGACATGACGGCACATGAGTAATTACGAACACGGCATCTAGGGGGTCAATTCAAGCTTCCATACACTTAAGATTAAGTTTCCTCAGGTGCATCATCGGTCTGATATTCACAGATACATACGTATGTACTTTGTATGTTGTAGTTTGCTTATTTTTGTTTATTTGCATTTATATGTTTTTAAGATATGATATGTAACATTTAGCGTTAAGGGTAGCGATATATTGCATTAGTCGAAATTTTTCGACATTTTGCGTAAGCGTTGCGACATATAGCGGTAGACGATTACAACATATCGTGTTGATTGCGACATAATGCATATCGTGACATATAGCGTTGATTGCGACATAATGTGGCATTGTGGTGGTACAACGCCCAGTTTCTATGCGTAAAGGCGCCACATCACAACGAAACTTGCTAAATGCAGTGCGATGAAGTTGAGGAATAATAAAGTGTACAATACAATCCTTTTTTAAATAGTCGATATGTACGCAACTTGTTGCCACCACGACCAGAAGGACCTGTGACACTAATTAAAGATTCGAGCCAGTTTAAAACAATTTACTTGTTTCAAAATTCACTATTGAATGGAATGGAAATTCTTAGTTCTCTAATATAGGTGTGCATTACAATTTTTTAACATCATTAACATGTTAATAATATAGAAAAAACAATTTTAACATGACCAATTTGCTGCAGATGCAGATTGATCAAAGTGCAACTAGTTTGTTTACTCAAAAATCAAGCATATTATACATTCTAGATAAAAGGATCCACTGTCTGATTTCTGGGGGTATCCATCCCATTTTATCGGAAACCGCGACGTTTATCTACAGACACTTTAAAAAGAAGGGCATGGCGCAAAACTGCACAGTAAGAGCGATAACCTCAGATATCAGAACCGTAACTGATTGTTCGACAAACCGTATACATTGTACAGAAGACCACCAGCCGATTTACATTAAGCAATAAGAATGCCAAAAGCCCAACTTGCACTTTGAGCTACAACCTTTGTCGCGACATTTCTTGCAGCATTAATTCCAAATACATATATCTATTAACGATATTAAGTGTGTGAACACTACACATAAAACTGAACAATGTTCTACATATTGTTGGTGCTACAACAATTATTCAGTGCATTTTAATAAACATTGCAAATCTTTCTCATCTTCTCCCAATTAGACAAGAGATAAAATTCGGGATAATAAGTCAAGAACGTCATTGATCGAGAAATACCTTTTATTTCTATTAAATTATGTCAAGCATTTATATGAATTGGTCGGGCAAAAATATATAATATCCCGTTCTTATTTGTACATGCACGGACTTTAAAATTCTGTCAGGAGCACAGTTTATCGTTTTTTATTTCATGCTTACCAGTGTTTTATTGTAATATATCAGGTGATAATATTCTGATAAACCACTAGTGAAATTTATAAAATATAATTTTCAGTGCAGCCGGACTATATCTGAATGCGGATGAAAAGAAAATCATAACTAAATGGAATAACAGGCAGAAATAAATGCCGTCATACGTAAATTTTGCTTCTTTAGGAAAAGAAAGTCGATGTCACCATAAATCATGGTTAAAATGTAACAAAATAAGAGAAATCTAACAGAACTATATTTCAAAATTGATGATGTGACGTCATGATGTGATGACGTCACAAAGGAGAATGCGCCACGTTACGCGGCAAAATCAGTAAAAAATACTTAAAATCACTTAAAAAGCATGAAATAAAAAGAAAATTTATTTGTTTTACATATAAGATTGAAATATATTTCATTCGTGAACACCAGCTATTATATTTTCACTCGTGGCTACGCCACTCGTGAAAATATTGCATCTGGTGTTCACTCAGTGAAATTATATTTCAATCTTACATGCAAAACAAACAAATACCCTCTATTTAATTTATATTTTAACGGATTTTCATACATGAATACCCAGGCAGAGTGAAACTGATATAATATTATAATAATAATGATTATAATTATGTTTATATTCCAAGAGAAAAATTAAAAAAATGACTTTGATATAACGATTTAAAATTATAGAATTTTTTTATATAGAGGATATTTGTTTGTTTTGCATGTAAGATTGAAATATAATTTCACTGAGTACCAGATGCAATATTTTCACGAGTGGCGTAGCCACGAGTGAAAATATAATAGCTGGTGTTCACGAATGAAATATATTTCAATCTTTTATGTAAAACAAATAAATTTTCTTTTTATTTTATGTTTTTTAAGTGATTTTAAGTATTTTTTTTACTGATTTCCCGCGTAACGTCGCGCATTTTCCTTTCTGACGTCATTATATCATGACGTTACATCATAAGTTTTGAAATATAGTTCTGTTAAATTTCTCTAATTTTGTTAAATTTTTAACATGATGTATGATGACATCGACTTTCTTTTCCTTAAAGAAGCAAAATTTACGTATGACGGCATTTCTTTCTGCCTGTTATTCCATTTGGTTATGATTTTCTTTTCATCCGCATTCAGATTTAGTCCGGCTACAGTGAAAATTATATTTTATAAATTTCACTAGTGGTTTAAACCGCGGCGCAGGAGTGTAATAAAGCCATTTAATAAAAACGATATTACACTGGACGATATTACACTAGTGTAATAACACTTTGACGTCACGTCATTTGCACTATAAACATAGCGTTAAAGCGCGCTAATGTTAGCGCTACACTGTAGGCGCGTCAAAGAAAAATGACTCTTGTTAACAGTTTACCGTTCTTATTTTATATATGTGATAAATAGAATATTATATTCGTGTAGATTCAATACTAAATCTATTGAACTCGTTCAATAAAACAATATTATGCTCGCCAGAGGCTCGCATAATATGATTTTATTCAACTCGTTCAATAAATTTAGTATTAAACCTACACTCATTCAATATCCTCTATATAATCATCTGATATATTGTAATAAAACACTGGAAAGCATGAAATAAATCAAAATCAATAATTTACAAAGGCATTTTTTCAAATATGTTATTTTTTTATGAAGATCAAAGACATTTAATGCATAAGGTTTATATAAATAACAATAATTACCAAAATAAGTTGGTTTAAAATTTATGGTAGTACCACGGAAAGTGTCTGTTGTCGCCTTAATTTGCAAATTTTCTGCATTCAAATAATAATATTAAACGAATGATTCATAACAAAATTTAAATCGCTAAATCAAGGCACCCCACATTTTAGATTTTGTTCAAAATGCGTAACAAAATAAAAAAATAATAAAGAAACAAATAAAAAAAATCAACGGTCTACCGGTCGCATCATTTCAGACCAGTTACTATAAGTTATGTGGGTTTAAAACAAGGGGAGCCACTCTCACCTCTCTTATTCATATTTTTCGTCAATGATATGCACAGCGACTTGCTAATGACACTGTTGGCTCTTTCACAATAGACGATTGACAAATATTTCTTTTATTATTTGCTGATGACACAGTGTTATTTTACTATTCTAAAGAAGGACTACAACATCTTTTAAACAAATTGTATGCAACAATTGCGGAATTGTTGTTAATGTACATAAAACTGTTGCTATGACCTTCAAAACCGGTGAAATGATGATTTAGTGGTCTATTATAATAACGAACGTCTTAAAGTTGTTACCTTGTCATCTAATGGGAATTTTTATCAAGTTCAAAAATCTTTATCCAACCAAGCATTAAAAGCATTGTTTTCGTTGAATTCTTCATTTGATTATATTCCATTGAATGTATCTGAAAAGCTTAGGCTTTTCGATACTATGATTTTACCAATTTTGACATATGTTGGGCTTTCATAACTCACCTGATATTAATAAAGTTCACTTAAAATTCTTAAAACAAGTTTTAGGCGTTCGTCCGCAACTTCGGCAGTACTTGTACAGATTTCCTATTCAAAATTCGAATAGTTAAATTTTGGTATAGAATTATGATAGCCATACCGTCTCATATGCAGCATAATGCACTTTCAATGCAAATTATTTGCTATTTATTGAAAGATACGTAATAGTTATTAATAAATTCTGATGGAAACTGAAAATTTCCTTTTTTTCAAAGTTAAAGGGGCATAACTCTGCCAAAAATCATCAAACCATGACAAAATTCAAACTTGACCTGCACATTTCTTTGATGTATCCATATGTCAAATTTGAGTTGAATGTGTTATAAACCCTAGAGGAAATAATGAACGGAAACTGAAAATTTCATATTATTTTCAAAGTAAAAGGGACATAACTGCCAAACAATAATCGAAACATGACCAAATTCAAACTTGACCAGCGCATTCCTTTGACATATCCATATGTCAAATTTGAGTTGAATATGTAACACTGTTGGGGAGATAATAAACAGACACTGAAAGTTTCATATTATTTTCAAAGTGAAAGGGGCATAACTCTGCCAAAAATCATCGAACCATGACCAAATTTGAAATTGACCTGCGCATTCCTTTGACGTATCCATATGTCAAGTTTGAGTTAAATGTGTTGTACCGTTGGGGAGATAATGAACGGAAACTGAAAATTTCATATTATTTTCAAAGTGAAAGGGGCATAACTCTGCCAAAAAAAATCGAACCATGAATAAATTTGAACTAAACCTAAATTTTCTCATGACATATCAACCTGTCAAGTTTGAGTTGAATGTGTGCAACCGTTACTAAGATAATGAACGGAAACTGATGATGACAGAATGACGGAAGGACGGAATGACAGAAGGACGGAAGGACGGAACAGGGTAACACTATATGCCACGACCATTATATGGCGGGGGCAAAATTAAATTCTGGACGCAGTAAGGAATACAAAACTATAAAAGGAAAGCCAACTAGAACTATCACATAATGTGATTAATACCCCCCGCAAGACTGCTTCGGAAATGAGGATGTTACTAGTAACAGTAA